CATATTTACAAAAATATGCATTTTCCCTGACATGATTTCATAATTTTTCTTCATTGCAGATTGATCTATCACTAGCAGTGTCTTTTCTTTTTTTTAGCAGTGTCTTTTTTGTGGTACGCGGGCCTCTCACTGTTGTGGCCTCTCCCGTCGTGGAGCACAGGCTCCGGACGCGCAGGCTCAGCGGCCATGGCTCACGGGCCCAGCCGCTCCGCTGCATGTGGGATCTTCCCGGACCGGGGCACGAACCTGTGTCTCCTGCATCAGCAGGCTGACCCTCAACCACTGCGCCACCAGGGAAGCCCTAGCAGTGTCTTTTAAAACTTTAATTGTCAATACCTACACATATCATACACCTCACCAGCAATCCAGATTCTGGAAGGTAGGTCTGGGTTTTTTGGGGTTTTTTTTGTTTGTTTGTTTTTGGCCACACCACGCAGAATACACCATCTTAGTTCCCCAACCAGGGATGGAGCTGGTGCCCTCTGCGTTGGAGCGCGGAGTTTTAACCACTGGATCACCAGAGAAGTCCCTGTAGGTCTGTTTTTTAAGGGAGTGAATGTTTTATAATGTAAATAATCACACTCACAAAGGCCTTTTTTTTCAGTTTATTTTCTTACATCAGATTTTATTAAAGCAAGATTCACTTTTACATGTATAGAAACCTTTCTAAGAGTATCCCTCAGAGTTTTTACCATTTTATGTAATTTACCTCAAAATACAGATTTCTTCTTCAAGAAGCTGAAAATCATAAGCTTTGCTGATGTTTCCCACAGAGTTATTCTTAGAATAGTTCTCAAAATCCAGAAAATATTCCCTGTGTTTGAATTTGAATTCTTTCTGCTACCATAAATGAGAACTACGTAACCCAGTGCAATGGTTAATTTTATGTGTCAGTTGGCTGGGATAAGGAATGTTTCTGAAAGAATACATTTGAATAAGTAGACTGAGTAAAGAAGATGGCCCTCACCAACAGAGGTGGGCATTACCCAATCCACTGAGGGCCTGAATTGAACAATAAGGCAAAATAAGGTCAAATCTGCTCTTTGCTTGAGCTGGGACATTCATCTCCTCCTGCACTTGGACATTAGCACTCCTGGTTCTGAGACCTTCAGGCTCATACTGAATTACACCACAGGTTTTCTTGGTTCTCCAGCTTGCAGTTGCCAAACCATGGGACTTCGTGGACCCCGTAATCAATCACATCAATCAATTCCTATAAATCTCTTCTATATAGATAGATATAGATATAGATATAGATAGCTATAGATATCCTATTGGTTTTGTTTCTCTGGAAGACTCTAATACACCCAGTATATTTTGCTTTTTTCCCCATCATCCAGAAACCTAAAAGTCAAATTAATTTTGTGTCAAATCTACTCAGGTCAGGTGCCTGAAAGTAACTACTGCTTCTGTCTTATTCAGATGAATTCTTATATTTGATCCTGAAAGATTATCATCTTTACACTGTTTTTGCATCTTGCCCTCATCCAAAAGAATATAAAGCACATCACTGATTTAATATCCAATAAATGAAACGGAGCTTCCCTGGTGGCGGAGTGGTTGAGAGTCCATCTGCCAATGCACGGGACACGGGTTCCAGCCCTGGTACGCGAAGATCCCACATGCCACGGAGCAACTAAGCCCATGCGCCACAACTACTGAGCCTGTGCTCTAGGGCCCGAGAGCCACAACTATTGAAGCCCGTGCGCCTAGAGCCCGTGCTCCGCAACAAGAGAAGCCACCACAGTGAGAAGCCTGCGCACCGCAATCAACACAACTGGAGAAAGCCCGCGGGTAGCAACCAAGACCCAACACAGCCAAAAATAAATTAAAAAAAAAATAAAATGGTTTTCAAAACATGTAATTCGTGCTCTCTCTGTTAACTATTAAAACTGCAACAGCGGTAGGCACGTGACCCAGGCTGCACCAATCAGACGTGCTCCTGTGAGACAGCGGAAGGGAGTCGAGTGAACGCTCGCGCCTGCAGGAGCCGCCCGGAAACATCCATATCAGAAACAGCAGGAGCCAGGAGGGAGATGGGAAACTGCAAAGCCCGCTTCCACTGTCTGGCCAAGCAGTTTCACCACCTGTACCAGGAGAAGCCGGAAGTTTTCCGTGCACTGGTGTAGGGGGCTGCTGGCTGGACAGATCCCCAAGACAGCCTGGCACTGCTGGGAACCTGACTGCGGACTCCGTCTTCTCGGAAAATGGGAGAAGATGCAGTTGCCTGGGCACTTTATTTAAAAAAAAAAAAAAAATGCAACAGTGAAGATACTGGGTTGGGGCGGAGGAAGGTAGAGACTGGGGCTGTGGGCACCATTATGCCATCTCATTACTGGCCACTTAAGAAACACCATTACAGGGCTTCCCTGGTGGCACAGTGGTTGAGAGTCCACCTGCCGATGCAGGGGACACGGG